GGTCCAGGTTAGTGTCCTCAACCCATGTGGTCTATTAATACATGGAGAACTTACAAATGTTTATGTGAGGAAGGTAATTAAACCATATACTGGTAAATAGAGTTATAAATAGAGTTTTTTTGATATGGAGTCTATGGCTGTTGGCCTTACTGGGTAGCTTTACATGGACATTCGAAAATTAAGACCTGTTTAAAATTATTTAAGGCCTACAAGTAAAGATTTTAAGGATTTTAAGAACTTTTAAAGCCTAAAATTGTTGTTTTGAAATTTAACACATTTTAAGACTTGAAAAGACCCCACAGACACCCTGACTGAAAGATTTAGGGCAGTGAGTAAAAGATAAAAGAAAATAATTTTAAAATTATACAAAATTCCAAAAATTCAAAGTTTATTGAAATAACTTCCTTTAAGTAGTTCCTTTATAATAATAATAATTATTATTATTATTCCTTACATACTGCTTTTCTGGAGCATCAAAGCGCTTTATACTGAGATTCCCCCAATGTGTAGAGTATAGACCACAGGTAGGGCACCCCCTGCTGGTCTTACTAGCACCACTTCCGTCAGCAACCTAGCATTCCCATGTGGTCTCCCATTCAGGTAGTGACCGGGCTCAGCTCTGCTTAGCTTTAGTGGGCGACAATTTGAGAGTTGCAGATAGCTAGCTGCCGGCTAAATGGATAATCAAAAATAAATATTATGCCATCAGTGACTCTTAGGGCTGATTTATACTTCTGCGTCAAGCGCACGGCGCAGCCTGCACGTGGTCACATAGCCCACGCCGTGGCCGACGCTGACGCACACCTCTCAAAAAAATGTAACGACACGTCGTAGCACAAGCTCTGTGATTGGTCAGCTCAGTAGTACTGAGTGTGAGTGTGGGCAGGACCCTGCTAAAAAAATCCATCTTAAAAAAGCATAGGGGTTTCCAGCCATTTCCAGCCTGGTCCTAGCTGGTCAGGCTGGAAAATGACCAACTAAATCCAGCTAAAACCAGCTAGACCAGCCTGGTTTAAGCTGGACATAGCTGATTTTAGCTGGGCTCCCAGCCTGGCTAGGCTGGTCAAGCTGGTCATTTCCCAGCCTGACCAGCTACGACCAGGCTGGAAATGGCTGAAAAACAGCCTGGAAATGGCCAAAACCCCTCTAAAACCAGCCTGGCCGACCAGCTAAAACCAGCCAACCAGCCTAGGCTGGTTTAAGCTGTTTTTTTCAGTAGGGGACCGCTTGCACTCGATGGATCTAGAGTGTGTACCGTGTCGAGTACCGTGAAGGAGGTCTAGATGGAAACTTATTTTATGTTAAAAGTTGTTGCACATCCGCCGGTTCCCGCCTTAAAATAAGTTGCTCATTACCTCACTGCTATATAGCGTTTCGGAAGCGTTATTACAGAGCAGTTAAATAGTGTGCAGGGCTACGCGCAAGACATACGCCATGGGCCACGCCGATCATTCTACACAGAAGTATAAACCAGGCTTTAGTGGAAGTTCATTTATGTGCAACACAAGAGAAACCAATATCAATTGTATCCTATTTATTTACTGATACAAACGTATAACAGTTAAAAAATATTTAATATATAAAACAGTTAAAAATTATTTATAATCCAATTTTATCTATGCTGACATCATTTAAGCTTATCCAAAAAAGATTTCAAGAGTATCAAAGCCCTTATTAAGGTCCAGTAACTAAGTTTCAATAACATGAAATGCTCTAAACCCTGACTGGAATTACTTATTAATTACTCAGGGAATTACAAAATTTCTATTTTATTCTATTTTATCTAGTACATTTTGCTACAGTACATAGCCTAATAGAAATAATGACGTTCTATGACTTTCAATAGTTTATATGCACAGCTAGAGTTTTTTTAAAAGCTTTTTAAAGCTTTTTTTTTTTAAAGAGTTTTTTTAAAGATTTATATGACTCAATTTCATAATGTTCTTTTTACAGCATTGACGTTGTAATGTAATTCAAATATATTCAGTTACATAGACTTAGGCATTCATTTGGTTGTCAAATCGTAAACAGTGACGAAAAACCTTTTAACGCAGCCGCTCTTATTGGCAGCAGGTGAGCACAGAAATTCCATTGAAAAAACTGTGGTAAAATTAATTTACATATTTTAAGGACATGGCATGGAAAAAATGATAATTTAATGCAGTGCTTCTTGTTGGTCTAATAACAACTTTATATCGCATCTCAGCCAGGCAGTGAAGATATTTTCTTAAAGAAATCAGATCTTAAACACGACGATTTTGTATGCGTTGACAATTAACCGGATGTCCTGTGGCTGGCGGACTGAATTTAAAAGTCTGTGTGTGCATATACCCCATTGTTTTCATCAGCCACTTAGAATACCTGGTCATGTTGAGTTTTTTTTTCAGGCAGTTCAGACATGTTTAATTTTTCTTTGTGTACACATAAAGCAACTACTGTAAAACGGATCCTCAATTCAAGTTTCTGTCCCTCGGTCACACAGAGACTACACACAGAGCAGACACAGAGAGAGTGCTGTCTAACTCGCACCAACAATCAAGATCCTGCTACTCTCTGACGTCAGCGCAGGCCTCAAAAAAATCCCCCAGGCTCTTTCCTTATGGTGGCTTATACAAACACATGCATGCACAACTTCTGCTTGCAATTGGAAAATACATCAAATACCCATCAATATTCAAGTAAATCTTACCGTTTACCTTGCTTTTCAATGCACAAACAGGATTGTAGATTTTAATTAGGTAAATCTCAATTCTGTAAAGAAATGAATATTTCTTTTTGAAAGTAATCAAAATTCCCCAGCTATAGTATTTACTCACTCACTATCCTTTGGATTAGTCCCTGATTTATCTTTATTTGAACCGCCAGTTACTTTGCTGTTTTATGCAGCAGAACACCCATACACTCTCTCATTCTCACACACACACACACACACACACACACACACACACACACACACACACACACACACACACACACACACACACACACACACACACACACACACACACACACACACACACACACACACACACACACACACACTCAGCCAATTTTGTTTACCCAATTCATCTATACAGCATGTCTTTGGTTTGGACTGTGGGGGAAACCGGAGGAATCAGAGGAAACCCACATGAGCAGGGAGAACATGCAAAGTCCACACAGAAATGCAAACTGGCTCAGCCAGGATTCGAACCAGAGACCTTCTTGTAGTGAGTTGACTACCACTGAGCCTTTACATGCATGCAAAAATCTTTTTCATTTTCTCATCCATATAAAATTTAAGATTCGACCATGGCTTGTTATTATATGTATATATTATTACCACTTTTTGGTCACCCTTTGCCAAGGGTACCTAGCAGAAAAAAAGGGTACCAAAAGGCGAAGCTAAACTTGCAGCTGAACGCTAGTGGTTTACAGAGATATGCAGAAGCAGGAGAATGATAATAGACAATAGAAGTGGCATTTTTAAAAACATAGCCGAGACATTACACCGTAATAATATGTACATATAATAACAAGCCTGTTCGACCGGAGCTCAAACAAACCTTGTCGTTGTCTTGAGGAACCGCCACAAAGCCAAGAAGAAGAGAAGAAGAGAGCTCCCCACGTGTCTATATTTGAAATAACGAACCTGCTGAGCTCACATTAATAACGTACGCATGATTATTAAATCGCGTCTGATATCCGATGCTTTCAGAAGTGGACAACGCGAGAGTGAAGCAAAGCCGAAAAAACAGCAGCAAATGATGGTTCTGCAACCTAAAACATGAACAAACTGCCATGTTTAACTATTATGATGCAGAAGTATCCCTCTATATGTTTTCATTGAAGTGGTTCACAATATTTAATCATCCACCGAGTTTTTAATGTAGTCAAATGTTTACAAATGCAAGCACAGCCATTTAGAGGTCATTTATGGTAAATGATGTCAGAATTTACTGGTATTTTGGTATAGATGTATAAATGGACTTTTCTGGAAAAATTCCGTAACGTAATTGCGGTGTAAACAGTGCTTTTTTTTAATTTACCGGTAAACTCGTTCCGGAAATGTTACAGATATGTACCCGTATCACTGTGTGAAAGGGGCTTTTGTTATTACTAGATATCTAGAAAAGTATGTAAATGAAATGTGAAATCTGACCTTCCAGGAGCAGGGATAGACACACCAGCTACAGTATATGACTCCAACAAAGCTTCCCTATTGAATTATATGAACACCTGTTAATATTATATTTACTTTTTGCCACTGGACATTTTATTATGCAATGCGAATAAAATTAATCTCTTTTTAGATGTTCGAGTCGGGCCATTTTTGGGGGGGGGTTTGGGGAACCCTGAGTTAACGTCCTGCAGTAGATCCGTAAGGGTCTATTGCATCACACAGGCTACATTTTTTTATTCAGTTAGATGAAAAAAGGGAGCAGTAAATTCTAAAAAACAATAAACACTATAACTTCGTCTGAAACCACCAAATACTCAGTAGGTACTTCATTTGAATCCAAATGTACTACTCGGCCGTTAGAAAAGTATGTTATTTGTAGTATGAATGTAAGCAGTATGAATGGAATTCGGACATACAACATCCACCATTTTGTCATGATCACATGACCCACCCTCGTGAGTTACATTGCTTCACTCCCATTCTCGAATTCTCTCGCAGGGCATCAGGATAAAGCGCAGCGTGTATGGGATACGCACTTCAGAATCTCGCCGGAAGTAGTAGGTCATCCGGGTACTTCTCACATTCTATGAATTCGGACATACTACTCGGCTCGCATACTGTTTTTAGCAAGCTATATAGTATGGAAGTATGCGGTTACGGACACAGCCTATGTACACCCTTTCCCTGTCTTTTTTTTTTCTTAAGCTGATGATATTATTTTTTATAGTTCCAGCAAATAGTAACTAAAAGCTGTTTTGACCAACAAAATCCATTTTCAGTAGCAAATAAAACAGGTGCACTAAGCATCAGAGATATGTGTATGTGCACATTAACATACCATGGCATCCAGAAGTTGTATGCATCGCTGAAGCTCTGGTTGGGTCTCACAGTAGAGGCGGAACAGAAGTCTCCCGATGGGCTGCCTCTCACACAGGCACACGTAGTCTCGTTCTGACACACAAAACAAAAGGAAAATTTTTCAAATTGTACTGCTATGGTATCATGGTGAAAAAATTGACTTTGATATACATCTAATAAAAACATATGCATACTTTAATGGGGGAAAAAGATAACAAAAAAAAAAACAAAAAAACAATGCTTCATTTACTGATGTTTCAAATGTAATTCTAAACACTGAAAATTAAAGTTGCTATTTAGAAACAATAACTTTTCAGCACTTTAAATCTGTGGTAAATTACATATCTGCACTGCATCACAAGATTAAATACAATTTTTAATTTTTTAAATTTTCTTAATTTTTTTAAGTCAAATTATATAGCATAAATATTGATAGTATTTGATGATTCAATGATAGTAACAACAATTTGCAGAACCCAGATGAGCCGGTTTTATTATTTTCAAAGGTTGTTACCTAGGAATAACATATCTTGGAACTTTGAAAGGGAGCTGTGAGAATCCAGACATAGGGATGGGAGGTAAACCATTCTGACGGTATGATAACCTTGGATAAAATTATCACGGTTTTACTTAAACATATAATGTGGGAACAGTATAGCAGAACATTTTGGCGGTTTTAAAACCTTGACAGTTTTGAACCGCGGTAAACCTTGAAAACGATTATCATCCCATGCTTATCCAGACAGTGTAATATTCAACAATATTACTACAGTATGTTATTTTGGAATGAAAGTTTTTGACCCATTAAAAATGCCTTATCTTTTCAGAATTTAATTTGACGTGTTAGTAAAGGTGTTCAAATTTCACATTTGAGGGTAAGGAGGAGGTGGGAAGCAGCAATTGATGAACGCACAATAATAATAAAATAGACAGAAAACAAAAAATAAAGCAACAACCCCTAATGGATGACTGCTGCCCAAAAACACTAAACTCCTACATAAGTGACCCAGCACTGGGGTACAGTGCAGTGGGGTAATTTGTTTAATTTTTTTTATATTTCCCACATGAACAGAGCAAGGAAATTTTCGCAGCATTTTTTTTTATTAAAGTCTTTTAAGAAAGTCTTATTTGATTTATTTCTTTAAAAAAAATGACAAAAATAAACATTTTGAGGTCAAAATTATTAGAAGCTTTTAAGGTATTTTGTATAGTCTACAGAACAAACCATCATTATACAATAACTTGCCTAAATACACTAACCTTACTACTAAAATACCCTTCCAGGTAAACCTAATTATCCTAGTTAAGCCTTTAAATGTCACTTTAAGCTGTATAGAAGTGTCTTGAAAATATCTAGTAAAATATTATTTACTGTCATCATGGGAAAGATAAAATAAATTAGTTATTAGAAATTAGATATTAAAATTATTATGTTTAGAAATGTGTTGAAAAACTCTTCTGTTAAACAGAAATTGTGGGAAAAATAAACAGGAGGGGTAATATTTCAGGGGCTTATAATTCCAACTTCAACTGTATAAGTACACCTCTCACTAATCTTTTTTTCAATTCATATTTTTAATAGGAAGCTATATATTATATTTGTGCATATACATTAAATTAGTCAGTACTGAAGCCAAATCTGGAGTTTATCTAACAAAATAACTTACAATAACGGTCCAAAAACTAGTACACCCACATTTACATGTCATAGAAAAATGTTAAATACAAATTTTTAATAAGGAGCAAAAATCAAGAAACACAAAAAGATTTAGCTGAAATTCTGTAGGTTGTAACTTTTTCTGCAATATTTTGCTTGATTTTAATTGCATTATCTTTCAGTTTCTAGATATGTTTGGTGACGAAAATATTATTTTAATAAATATATCTGTGTAATAAATCCGTTTAAATGCACCAAAACACATTGCCTATATTCACTGAGAAATGGATAAAAATATTCATTTTCATAATGGGCTGTACTCAATTATGCTGAGCACTGTACGCACAAAACAAAAATGAAAACGTGTACTCCACTTCCCGCTCCAGACAGAGTCCACCTTTGCATTTACAGACGCACAAATCACTTTCACACCAAAAATCACACGGATGTGTAGTGCAAAAGATTTGCAAGCGAAAAACAAGACCCATAACGGCCGATTCGAGCCATTTTAGCAACACAGTTGTGTGTAGTTGGAAAAAACATATGTCCAGAAAACATTCTACATGCATGCAACTCTCTTTGCATGGATTCACATTCTAATCTGCAGATGTGCAAATGTTGTCTGTGACTTCACATTTTTAGATGCAGGTGTGTTTTGCATCATATTCACTGAACCAATGGTAGTAAAGAACATAAGCGGATGAGTATCTTTATTTGGGATTCATCCAGTAAGAATTGCAGACTTGTACTGAAGAATTTGAATAGGTGCAAATATTGCGTTGTGTTTGTTGGAAAGAAAAAAACACATTTATTATTTACTGAGTAAATGCAAATGCACATTTGCAAATTTGCTCTGGGTACAAATTTACTGCAACACATTTGTGGCTATTCTTCATAGTTACAAATTACAGCTACTTGGTAGTATTGCAACAAAAATAGTCTGATGAACACCCCTTCAAGTGTTACCAGTTACTAAATAATAAAAAAACATGCAGCTTTTAAGATTTTAAGTAACAGTCAATTTCAGGGATAAATGATCAATTTGTTCATGAGAGATGGAACAAGGAGCAACAAAGGATGCAATGACATCACTACACCTGTGAAAGGGAGCAGTGTAATAATATGTTCAATGTTCTCAATGTTTTTTGAGAGCATGCACAATTGGACTTGGGCATTGCTGCTGAACTTGCAGTTGAAGTTATATCTAGAAGATGACAGTGTGGAAATAAATTTATATAATGTAGTTTCAATATAACAATAATCTATATATAACTAAAAATAAATATTCTTTGGTTTTTAATTTGAATATGTAACAGCACAGCTATGAGGAACATTAAACCTTGTTCCTGAGAACGGGCTGAGTCAAAGTGATGCAAATGCTATTGACACGGTCGTAACGACTATGCCTTTGTCTTCGGACTGAAGATTAACCAACACCTCTCAATAAAGAAATTCTCCCTTTGAATTGTGTTATGAAGGCAGTTCGTAACCCATTCATTAGGCACACTTGCAAATTGGGGTTTGTAATCAAGAAAAAAAATAATTGGCTACTTTCATTGTATAATAATACCCCGTTTCACTGTAACCCATCTCTTCCTGAAGCATTAAGAGATGGAATAACACAATACTGGTATAAAAAGGGAATACAGATGTTTGGAGATTTATATGAGCAGGGCGTACTAATGACATTTGAACAATTGAGATTAAAGTTTTCCTTTCCTGTTAAACATTTATTTTAAATATATTCAGGTGAGACACTATTACCACAATGCAAAAGGGTAATTTAGGACCTTTCTCTTCCCTCCCAATAGATGCTATTATAAGACAGAGGAAAGAACCCAAAGGATTTGTGTCTTATATGTATAGCAACCTCAACGATTTGTATGGGATGGAAGTGTCATCTTCAAAACTTAAATGGGAGAAAAATTTAGAATGCATTTTTGATCAAGATACTTGGGAACATATCTGTAAAAGTGCCTTAACGTTTTCATTTAATAGTAGACATACATTAATACATTTTAATATTTTACACAGGGTATATTATACACCTGAACGATTGCACAAAATGAGTGATTCATATTCAGAACATTGTTCTAGATGTAAGATTGAGGTTGGTACATTATTTCATATGTTTTGGACATGTTCCAAACCTAAAACCTATTGGAGAAATATAATACAAACTATTAGTAAAATTGCCAAAGTTAACCTTTTACCTGATCCAAGATTTATGTTGTTAGGGGATGAATCAGTTCTTCTGTTCGATCAAAGGAAAAATTTACGTTTAATTAAAATGGCTCTGATAGCAGCACAGAAATGCATTGCTATACATTGGAAATCAGTAGAACCACCAAGTCATATTGTATGGCTTAGAGAACTTTCTTTTTATGTTCCTGTTGAAAAAATAATGTTTAATCTTAAAAAAAAAACTCTTCAATGTTTGAGAAGACTTGGGGTAAATTTATTAAATACATGAATAACTTGGATGTTACATTGACTGAACATACGGATGGAAAAGTATGACACTTCAGTGCTTTAATCCTGTATTTGTCATTATTGTTTGTTTATTGTTTATTTCCTCTTAATTTACACATCAGCTCGATCTCTCACAAGAATGTCTGTTTAAGTGTTCTGTCTTGTGAGGGTGGGAAAGGGGTGGAGGGTGGTTAGAAAAGAATGTTTGCATGTATACTGAAATGACTCTGTAAATTATTGATGTGAAAATAATAAAAAAATATATTGATAAAAAAAATAAATAAAGAAATTCTCCTGGACTGGGTTGTTTCATTTATTTGATTGGATACAACAACAGACAAGATGTTATAGAGTAATAATTAAATTAAATTCTGACAAAAAAAAAACACATTTGACCAATTTTTCCAATTACCTCAAAATGCTCCAGCGCAACATATGACCCAGATCACATCACAAATAAATGTAAGCAAATAATAAAATTATAAGTAAGTTGTTAATAAAATCTTCCATTTTAAAAAATTTTCTGCAAAATATTTGGTATTTTTATGCTATAGTAGAGTAAATTAAAAAAAAACACGCAACGCCCTTATTAAAAGAGAAGATGCACACACCAGGTATACATTTTTTAAAATAATAATTCAGTCTATTAAAACAGTTAAATCATTCCCAAAACAATACATTAAGTATTATAGATGCTGTGTTCATGTGTTAATGAAATAAAAAATAAACATACAAATAGCATTTAAAATGAAGTGGACAGAGAAGTTTTTCCATGAGCGGGAATGGAAAACCAGGAGTGGATCACCAGCAGAGAGAAGCCTTAGTAGAGAGTGGAACATGCTTCTCATCACATCCCCCTCTAAATACACAACTCGTCAATCCGTTGTAGCGACAAAGAACTTCAATCCGTTTGGAAGAATAATAAAGTAAGTGATCAAGCATGCAACATTTTACTTTGTATTGGTTGATCCTTTGTTGATTGCTGGTTTGGGACAGAGCCAAATGAAACTTCCCAAAACTGCATTCTCTGAAAAATCCCCTGATGAGTTAGGTCAGGATGTAGTCAAATGTGCAAGAATAAAAATGTTTGACAGTTCAGTTAAGTTAAGGCCTTCCAGAGCTGCTTGGTCTTATTTAATAGATTTTATTACTGTATTTATTATTGTTATTTTTGTTTTCTTTTTGGCTGTTATGGCTTTTGGCTTATTTTTATCATGCTGAAGTCTCATTTTGGAGGAGACACACAAAAAAAGGTTCTGTTGTTTAAACGAAAGATCAGTTGTTGAGCTTGCTGCAAAACAGCATGCATGGACAACGAACCAAAAATATCAAGGATGCAGAGTGACGAAAATGCAATGATGAAGTAAGAGAAGATTTAGACAACATCTTCCTACTATCGTTATTGGAAACATAATATCACTGGCAAACAAAGTGGACAAACTTGCATCACTTGTGATAATTGAGAGAGTGTTTCATGCTGGCTGTCGGCTTGCATGTGTGTATGGACAGGAATTGTGCAGAGAGCAGCAAGAAGCAAAAAGGTGGTCTGGTGTCTGGCTCAGCTCTGTTGAGGTGGTCATGGAGAAGCAAAGAGCATGAGACTGATTTCTGTAAGACCTCAGTGACAGATGAGCATTCACATTGATCCTAAAGGGCCAGCCTGTATACCAGCTGGTGACCTCTTGCACCTGCAGCTTCTCCATGATGGACTCCCAGTGTTCTCCAGTCTCCAGCGCCTAGAGTGCAGCTCTGCAGAAAAAGTTTGGTCAGAGGAGAAATGGTCATGCCCAACTGAGCCTGGTTTCTCTCAAGGTTTTTTTTCCTTCACTTTCGTCAATTGGCAAAGTTTGTTCCTCGCCTCTGTCGCCACTGGCTTGCATGGTTCAGGATTTGTAAAGCTACGCATCAATGGATTTCAGCAGTGAAAATTAAACCACACTGAACTGAACTAAACTGAACTTAAACTCTGACAACTGAACTGACACAGTTTCAATTCACTATGATCCTCTATGTTAAGCTGCTTTGACACAATCGATATTGTAAAAGCGTTATACAAATAAAGATGAATTGAACTGAAGAAAGTGGTGTTGTGATTTATGTCAACAAAATGTGGTGCAATCCTGGACACATTACGATAAAAGAAAGTGTGTGCAGTGTCGATATTGAATTGCTAGCAGCAAGTCTCCATCCATATCATTGGCCAAGAAAGTCTTCCCATGGCATTATTATCACAGTTAACATTCCTCCCTCCACCGATAGAGCGAGCTGTGGACATCAATTTCAAGACAGCGAGGGTAGTCTTTTGTTGCTATCCCTGGTGACTTTAATCTTGTCTGTCTGGATTTAATCTTACCCACCTTCAAAACTATCTTTATAAAACAAGAAATGATAAAACACTGGACTTATTGAATGCTAATGCCAAGGAGGCATATAGCCCCATGGCCACTTCTGGGCAGATCAGATTCTGTCTGTATCACTGCAGTTATACGGCGGTTTCAAGACGGTGGTCCAAAAAGCTATGGAGACATAGTGGGGCTTTTTAAAGGTTACAGATCAGGATGCCTTCTATAATATGCATTGGAGAGGATGTGAATGGTGTTACTTGCTGCATCACAGACAATGTCAATTTCTGAATAGAAAATTCTGAATGGTTTCATAACCTATGCCACATTACACGATAGGAAACAATTGAATCTTGTGTCACAGCACCTATTTGTCATTTACAAATCCTCACAACACCCTACATCAAGGAAATTAAGCCAAAATCATGAGAAAAATTTATGTGATTTGACTGGAGTTTAAGAAAACGAACTTTGCCATGAAAATTAAAAAACTACAGGTTTTGAGCCAGATCTTGATCACAGAGGCCACAGGAAAGCGATTCGTCAAACAGCTGAACCAGCAGCTAATTCATGAAGGCTTTCATATTTGCACTTGGTATTTTCTGTTTCGAGTTTTTGAACACGTTTTGTCAAATCATCCATGTTGTCCTTGTTTGAACTCACAGTTCCGATACATGGTTAAAAAGAGAGGAAGCTGCATTTTGAATCAGTTGAAACAAAGTTTGTAGAGTCACAATTCTTATACAATTCTTATATATTCTTATATAGTCCCAAATAGTTTGAAGCAATACTTCCGGCATGTCCATTGTGAAGAAGGATAAGGCAAGCTCCAAACAATCAAAGAAAATGTATATAAATATAGCACATAGAACATCAAAAAATGGAAAAAAATCTGAACTATGAAAAGAGAAAGTGACCTGTTTACACCAAGTAAAGACAAAAGTCTGTAGGTGCAGAGATACTCAAGCAGTAGCAGTAGCGGCCACTTCTTTTCAATTCAACCATATGTCTTTACGCATATGAGGAAATCTATTAAATGAGACAATTGGCATGGAATATTAGAACAATTATTATATTTGTTATACTAGCACCATAGCATGTAAACGATGAAGAAGTGTCTGTACAACAAAATACAGGCAGTTTAAAAGCCATAATAATCAAATGACCCTTGAATATTTACATAAATAGTAATAAAAAATTGAGCACTTACGGATATATATTTCCAAGGTTTCAATGTTTCAATCAGCCACAGAAAGAAACTGCATATATGTTACTTTCGACTATGCACACAGCGAAACTGTAAAAATTTACTTGGCCTATTAAGCAGGCAATAATTAGCAATAGGAAGCAATAAACTTTCTAGCCACACCCAAGCAACAATTTAGAGCACCACCCAAGCAAATATTTAACCATATAAACAAGGAACACAGTACAAAGACAAGGTTTGGACTCTTATGATTTTTTTTAAGTTTAAGCCACTTCTAGCCTTTTTAGTGATTTTCACCAATTTGACAGCAATAGAACCATAATATATGCAGATGCAGATCTATTAAAAAAACAGAGAAAATGCATTTTTTTTCCATAGTTGTGCATTTTCAAGACGTATAATACATAACACACGTGTGCTTGTTTGTGTGTCTGAAACATAAACATTTATAACTTTGGCCAGATCTACATTATTTTGCTGTGGCGAGCCCAGACAAAGCAAAGTATTATATTTCACAACCACAAGACAAGAAGACAAGCTCTCAAAGCTCTTAAGAGATTGAGATGTTGTGTAACTCATTACATTCACAGTGCATCCCTCACTATAATTTTTCTAAAACACGGATTATCATAAAAACTTAATGGAGGAAGTGCTGTCTCTTAATTGATGAAATATCAAAAATGACTAGCAATCAACAGAAAAGCACAACTAGATAAATACACTGAACAGACTAGAAAGACAGCAAATAACCAACAAAATCCAGACATAACGACAAACCAAACACAAAGGGTTTATATAACAACAGAAATTTCAAAAACCTGAAGACAAAATATAAATTAAAGCAGCAAAAAATGATGGGGACTGCAGTTTTGTTGACCAAAACAGCATACAACAAAGTGCCCTCAAGGGTCTAGACTAGGACACTACAGCCAAGGGCTTTGACAGATGAACTATACAAAGAAAATCCACTGGGGCAAAAATGGTGGCCAGCCACTCAGTGCTCAAATCTCAGATAGTGAACACAGAGTCAATGACAATCTAAAGTTAGACATAGTTTAACACAACAGAGGACAACAAAATTGAAGAAATCTGGCCAGGAGTATGTTATAGCTGATGAGGTGCATTAAAATCATAGGGACATGAAACATGCAACAGTTTATTGTCTGTACTTTACCGATGGCTTTGTTCAACTCTGTGCACTGACTGATATGAGGGAAACGAAGAATCTCTCTCCATTTCTTACTTCTTCCTTTCCGCTTACCTCCTCCACCTAGATAGAAAAAGCACAAAAAGGCCACTTAAAAACAATTTCTTAACAACATTTGCAGTCTTATGGGCTGATCACGCTGAACATACTTTTTGCAATGAGAGGCGCCTGTTTTGAACGTTTTACTAACGGATGCGAGTGTTTTGCGCACTATTAATGCGCCCTGCACACCTCACATTTTAACCGCCTGCTGCTACTCACTTTTTTGACATTACGTGCTGTGCGCTTGCAGTTGAAAAAAGTCAACTCTGAGTGGAAAAGGCATGTAACGTCAGTAGTGTCTTTTACATTTACCAATCAAATAAAAGCAGAGGCGGTGTTGCCGTTGAGGTGACAGCAGTGTTTGTGTTGTCAAGATGACTAAGGTGACTTTTGAAGATGGAGGAGAGACTTGTGGTTGCTGTTTTGAGTTATCTGGTGCTGTATGACTTCACATAAGGGTGTCACGATCCTCCAAATAAATCCTTGATTCGATAACATTTTGGATTCTAAAGTCACGGTTTGATTCGATTTTCGATTATGAATTATTAATTCATTAATAATAAATTAATTATTTGTAGCCTACCGTTTAAACTACCTGACCTGCATGGTCTTTGTTTTACCCATACACAAATCATACAGTAAATGAATAAAGGCAAGTTACACACATAATTACCACCTGTCAATCACTTTTTCTGCGGGACTCATGAATAGGCAGTGATTTGTGTCGTTATAATGGCGTCTGTAAAAAAGACGCACAACTAACGGGAACCAGCCAACAGTATCTGAGGTGTTCGCTAAAATCACTAAGTACAAGTGAGTGAAAGATTGAAGCAGTCTACTGACCCGCTAACTGCCTGGACCCGTTGTCTCGAGTGCATGGCTGTGTGCGTCTGTGTGTGGTCACGTGATGTGCGTTTTCAGCAGTAGTGAGGAAAGAGGGCTGCTCAGAAATGCTACACGCCACTGCGGATGTCAAATCGTTGTCGTTCTAAAATGCCATTTAAAAACAAAGACATATTAGTGTAAACACGGCCTGAGTGTGCACTTTTCGCGAGCGGATTTGCAACGGGGGCGGGGCGGAGGATCGTGATGCCGGTGTTGTCTATCGGACGAACCCTAATACGTACATAGCAGAGCTTGCAAAACTGTGTTTTTTTTGTCAACGCAGGTTAAATCTTAGAGACTTTGCTAGCAAGCAGTGTTGTGATCACGCTTTGCACGCTAGCTCTGGACCTGCTGGATAGAATAGCTGTAACGGAGTTTAGAGAGTATCAGACTGCTTATATCGGAGATTTTTAACGCAGTCCGATATAGTTTTTTGGACTGATATCGGACGAATTTCCTATATCAATATCGGATCGGGACATCCTTAATTAATGTAATCCAGCTCATTCCTCCCACTGCAACACAGCCCAGCTCAGCTAGAGGAAGACACCTTCAGCAGCCCATCACCAAAGCAGAAGCTTAAATATACCATTATACCAAACCTCTTATCAGAAACCTTGGCATAATGTATTTTATTATTTGACAATCTAGTTTTCATTAAATGCCTGTAACTGATATCAATTATTAACAAAACTTCTTGATATGTGTTATTTTATAATAGAATTACCAAACTAGACTCGTTAAAATAACTCAGTAACTCATCATAAAGTCTAATGTCTAGTGGCTGGGTATGGGCTTTTTACAGTGTCTGGTATAATGTCAATGTTGTTTTTGGTGTGTTTACATTGACTATGGCCACTGTGTAAATGCGCAGTATAGTTACAATCTTATTGCCACATTATAAATCTTTATGATAACATGATATATGCCTTCAGTGATTTCCTGAAGATAAATACCAATAAATAACACAACTGAAATAACTACAGCAGATCGTCTGATCTCATATGAAGCATGAGATTGCGATGACATATGACAACGTGTGCAGGGGCTGTAGTGCTGTCCCAATTCTTAGGGGTAAATTTTGCAGGGGAAAGGGTAGGTGTTGGAGCCATTTATGGGTTGCAATTTTCTTTTGTACCACTAGAGGATGTATACGGTATTTATGCTCTCCTCACGACGAGTGAGAGGTGTGTAGAAGAAGGTCAAACAAACTTTTTGACCGCCATGCTGTAAGAACGGGTTTATGTTTGTTTTGATGTTTACTTTTATTTTGACAAAATGGACAATAAATGGATTGGAATTTTCAAACCTTATTTGTAAAGGTATGGACATTTCACTTTTTTAATTGACCCGTTCAAGCAACGTGTCAAAATATCAAGCAACGTGTCAAAACCAAAGACCAAAATATTCGCGTCTACAATAGGGGTACAAAAATAGAATTGGGATCAGGCCTAAGTATGTTAGTACAAGTGCAAATTACCAGATGATAAAATAAAACTGTTCATCCATTTAAGTAGAAGTGACAAACTACAAGCTTTACATGTTTGTATCAGTGTTATATCTCCTAAATAGGGCTGCAACAACGAACCGATGAAATTGATAAAAATTAATTACTTAGGCGCAATCACAATTCTATTTTTGTACAACCCCTTCCCCTTGGCCCTTACAACCGAAGGGTAAGGGGAAGGGCTTCAAAATTTACCCCTAAGAATTGGGACAGCACTACAGCACCTGCACATCTGTCATCGCGATCTCTTGCTTCATATGAGATCCGACGATCATGACTGCTGGAGTGATTCCAGTTGTGTTATTTTTAGGTATTTATCTTAAGGAAATCACTGAAGGTATATATTATGTCATCATAATGATATAATGTTGCAATAGGATCATAATACTGTGTACTGTAATTAACACAGTAGCCATATTCATCAATGTAAACACACAAAAACAACATTAACATTATAGCAGACACTGTAAAAAAGCTAATTGACAGCCACTAGACTTCTCTGACAGGGTATTCTAGTGTCATCGAGTGTCAGAATGTTGTGAGACTGCTGTAAAGGAGTTGTGATTAGGGATTATAGATCGCAAAATTTATAGTTTTTTATTTTAGCGTTATTTTTAAAAAGCATAACAGTAAAAAATGAACACAGTTATGAATATATTAACACGTGTTTGTTTTTTGTAAAAATTCGTAATAATAACAAAAAATATTAATTTGTGGAGCTCCTTACTTCCGGGTGCAGCTGTTGCTGGGGTATTCTGGGAAATGTTTCTTACCCCTTGGTTTCAAGTGTGGTCCTGAAAAATCTTCAATTAAAGGGGTGTATACCCCTTGCGCTTAGCCCTACGCCTTGAAGCTAAAGAGAATTGGGACACCACTCCCCCTTCACGGGCATGCGCAAAACGAGGGGTAGGGGTAAGGGGAAGGGCTAAGTGGTAGAATTGGAATTGGCCCTAAAGTGTGGGCAACACATTTCATAATCTATTTGTCATGTTGCGTGACACGGTAAAAAAAACACTTCAGTTCAGCGCGTAGTGAACACTGTCTCTCTCATGCACTGATACAGAGTTCGGCGCCTTATAGACAGGGATTAGAGCTGCACAATTAATCAAAAAAAGATCGCGATCTCGATTCGACCCCCTAGATGATCACACGAGATGTGAGCTGCTGACTGTGCGGGTGCGCGCCCTACTTAATGATAGACATGCACGCGTCTACTTTAGTGAACAGAACCTGCATATGCTGTGAGTAACAGGTAATAATGTTGTAATTAATATCCAGTTTGTGGCACAGAGTGATCGTTTGAGAGCAGCGCGAAGTATGAACAGCACTTAGCAGTTGAAAATGAAACCGAAGGCGTGCACATCATTTAAATAATCATATCGCACTTTAGAGTAACGACTGCGACAAACATTTGATGTTTTTTTCTTTCATAGGGAACACAGTTGTGCATGAAAATAAATGTTTTCAGTGTCAGTATAACAACTCTAGCCAATATAATGTTGATTTTACCAGTGAATTAAATGGTCTAATAATGTTCTCAAGGTCAGATTGCAAGCATGGGCCTATATTTCAAACATAATTCAAAATCAGAATTATTATAAGTAGAATATAATTATGTATAGAAACCAGTAGACCTACACATAATATTAATATTGTTGTTTTACCATGTTTGAAAAAAAAAACAATAATCTCATATTAAGCTTAATTTTACATCTACAGAATCATGAGAGAATCGTGATCTTTATTTTAAGCAAAAAAAAGGCGATTCTCATTTTAGTCAGAATTGTGCAGCTCTAAGGCCCCGTTTACACTAATGCGTTTAAGTCTGAAAACGCATACATTTTTCTACGGTTACGCCAACCGTCCACACTACGCCGGAGTTCTCGAGCGCCGAAAACGGAGCGTTTCGAAAAAGCTGGAAAGGCCGTTTTTATTCTGAAACTCTGCTGCTCCATCTCAGTGTGGATAATGGAAAACGGAGACATCGGAAAACGGAGGCGGGGCTGCTGACATTCGCCTCTCTGATTGGGGCTTTTCCTCAATATTAAGTAGCCTAACACACACAGTTCAGTCCTGCATCCACTCCTTGTAAGTTCAGACTTCGCAAGTCTTCTTCTCAGTTTGATATGGAAAACAGACTATACCGAGGACACGGGTAAATCTTCAAAGGGAACAGTGTACTTTATAACTTCATTCACATCACCCTGGCTACGTTGTTTCACTTTCTCAACAATAAAATGAAAACATGATTTAAGGAACTGCCTATTTTGATTTTAATATTAGCAATTTAACAGACAGCAGAAATGTTGAGGCGTTGTGCTGCATAATATGAGCGTCATCTTCACTGTGTGGATATTTATAACAAAACGGAGCCTATAACAACTGCCTCCTTTCAATTTCAGTGAAAATACGAAACGCACCCTCTCTTTTGCTGAATATCAGTTTTAATAATCGATAATGGCCATTATAAAAGTATAACATACAATAAGTTTATACATTATAGGAAATAAAGGCAAGCGATTAGTCAATATACAGAATGTAGGCTGCGTTACATTAATCATTAACTTATTTTTGCGTTCAGCCAAAACACGTTAAGTAATCGATTCCAATGACCAAAGTCAGGGAATAT